ACCAGAGTCTAAACTTTCAAGACGACAAGTGGTTTTCTGTCTCTCTTTTTGCCTTCCTTCTTCTTCTCTCTCTCTCTCTCTCTTTCCTTATCTCTCACTCTCCTTTCTTCCCCTGCCTTCCCTCATAAAAAATAAAGTCAATGAGTGAAATACTGGAAGCTTTCTTGAATGTTACATATTCATTGTTGAGAGGATTCCTTTATTGGAGTCACACTGTTCTCAGACTGATGAGTAGTAAGGAAAAAAAACCCAACAAAATAAACTAAGCAATGCTTGATTTCACATGTATGAGAAATCTAAAAACAAACAAACAAACAAACAAAAACCCATAAGAAATGAACAAGCAAAACAAAACTCATAAATGCAGAGAAAGAAAAAAAAAACAAAACAAGCCATGCTTGATTTCACCTGTATGTGGAATCTAAAAAACAACATAAGAAATGAACAAACAAAACAAAATTCATAAATGCAGAGGGGAGGTTGCTGGAAGTCAGAGAGGAGATAGGTGTTAAAAAAAAACAGGATGATGTGGGGAGGTACCAACCTCCAGTCATAAAATAAGTCCATCTTGGAGACATTAGTTAACACCACAGTGCTTAAGTCAAACTTACCAAGAGAGTGTAGATCTTTAAAAATTCTCATCACCACACCACCTCTTGGCATCTACCCCCAAAGCACAAAATGTTAATTCGAAAGGATACTGTACATCTATGTTCATCACAGCACTTAGTACACCCAAATGTCCAACTACAGACAAATGGATGGCAACAGAAGTTGTGGCTGAAGAGATAGTACAGCAAGTAGGGCATTTGTCTTGCACATGCCAACCCAGGTTCAATCCCTTGCATCTCATATGGTTCCTCAAGCATCGCCAGGAATAATTTCTAAGTGCAGATCCAGAAGTAACCCCTGAGCATTGCCATATGTGACCCCAAAAGAAAAACAAACAAACAAACAAACAAACAAACAAACAAACAAAAAACAGAAGTTGTGGCACCTATGCACAACAGAATACTATACTGCCATTAAAAGGACAACATCAAGCAATTTGCTGCAACATGAATGGAACTCAAGGGTATCATGCTGAATGAAGTAAGTCAGAAGGGAAAGGACAGATACAGAATTATCTCTCTCATGTGTGGGCAAAGGACAACAGAAGAGCTGGTCCACAAAACTGAGTTTGCAGGAATGAGGGGGTGAGGTGGAGGTCTGAATATGAGAGGACCTTCGGGACATAGATGGAGGGAAGCAGGAACTCTGGTGATGGGTTTCATGTTTGAATGAAGTATATATGAAACCACCATTAACAGTATCGGTATTGTAAATCACAGTACCTCAATAAAGATTTTTTTAAAAAAATGTTCTAGGATGACAGACAGTACAGCAGGTAGGGCATTAACCTCTCACACAACCAACTCAAGTTCCATCCCCAACACTTTATATAATCCACTGAGCCCACCAGGAGTGACCCCTGAGCACAGAGCCAGGAGTAAGCTCTGAGCACTGTGGGGTGCGGCCCCCAAACCAATATATATGTATGCATATGTAATATTACATATAATCATGAGAAGTATAACTATATGAGGTGATGGGTGGTATAATTAAATTTGAGTTGGTGGTCACCTAACAATGGATGCAAATATTAAGTCCTCCTGTGGTACGCCTGAAACTAGTGTAAGGGTAGGTGACAACTATACTTCAATCACCAAGTACAACAAATAGACGACTCACATTGTTCAAAAAAGTACTTAAAAATACTGTTTACTATACAATTTAAGAAGACAGTATGCAAATTTCATGTTAATATATTTTTTAATGATAGGTTAACAAGTCTAGTCAACAATACTAAATACGAATTTTAGCTCTATACCTTAAAATGTAGAATTTGAGTGAGCCTTTCTTCATAGTGTTATTAAACAGGATTAAAGTTTATCATATTAGTGTACAAAGTTAATATACTGTAACACCAAGACATGCCATTACTGTTCCTATGTCACTGCTAGTTAGTCCTTCTCTTCATTACCTCCTACCCCTCCTCTCACTGCTTGGTAATCCGAGTTTTGTCATCCAAGACCAAGGGTTTTGATGTGCTTGCTCACTGTCCCTAATGTCTCTGTCAACTTAAACATGTTGGTGATCGAGGTAGGGAAGCAAGATTATGTTGAATAACGGCCAGGCGTTGGCTGCCCAGGAGACCCTGAAGCTTGGAAGACTTTTGTGCTTGTCTGTCTCATTCTCTACGACCGACTCTGCTGGATAGAGGTTGAAGGTACCAATCTGATTGACTTGATTGTGGTAAACTGTCACCATCAGCTCGCCACACGTGAGGCAACATCATAAAACCCTACACTATCTCTCCAGCGCCAAGGTAGACTACTTTTATTGTGAGAGCCTAACGGTGTATTCCAATCCTACATGGTTTCTTAAAACACAAAGTTAAAGTACTTAGAGGTCTCATTATTGTCTAGTTTAAAAAAAGAAGAACATGATTGCCACTCAATTCTTCTTTTGCAAACCACAGCACCCAAAAGGAGAGAGAGAACAAAAGGGAATGCCCTGTCACAAAGGCAGGGTGGGATGGGGGATAGGGGGTGGGAGGGATACTGGGATTAGTGGTGGTGGAGAATGGGCACTGGTGGAGAGATGGATACTCGATCATTGTATAACTGAAACCCAAGCACAAAAATTTGTAAGTCTATAACTGTACCTCATGGTGTTTCACTAATATAAATTTTTAAAAAAAGAACCACTCTACAATTTGGGGGCCAAAGTGATAGTGCAGTGACTTGCATGTTGCCCACCCAGGATTGATCCCTGGCATTCCGTTTGGTCCCCAAGCCCACCAGGAGTGATTCTTGAGCACAGAGTCAGAAGCCCTGAGCCCTGCCAAATTTGGCCACCAAATCAAAAGACAAACCGCCCCCCCACCACCAAAAAATAAAAACCTCCACAGTGCTGTGAAGTATTACCAGGAAGAGCTTTAATGCATTATTACCCAAAGGCATAACAACTAGTTCTAGTAACAGCAACAATAGTACCATAATTATTGGCAAGGTGTACAATAAATACTGTAAAGGTGTTTAAGAGAGTGAATGTTGGCCAATTACCCAAGAATTTTAGACTGGAGTCAATATTCCATCTTGTCTGTTAGTTTCAGATACTAACAAGTCTCGGAATATAAAAAGCTATGTCACCACATTACCATAAACAAGGTCACTTAGAAAAAAACACTATGTTCAAGAACAGATGAGAATAATCACAGACCTATGGTCTCCATCAGCAGTGAGGTGGTCTTACTACACCAGACTTCTCTGGAATTCAGGTGTCAGAAGACCTCTTATTTTATTTTGGTAATTTATTTAACTTTGCTTTGTTTGGGGGTGCACACCTAGGCTTGGAGACCATCTAGAGTGCAGGGAATCAAGCTCAGAACAGTTACATGCAAGGTAAGTGTCCTACCCACTACACTATCTCTCTAGTCCCTTGATCATTATTTTTTTTTTATTAAAGTAGTGTTAGCTTCTAAGAGGATATAGGCATCAGGTCAGCTTTTAGAAATCCACATTTCTGAGCTTGTCCTCTTTTGCTAGGGTCATGCAAAAGAGGACATGTCTACTGTATTAAATAGAAATACTTAATACAAATGGAAGTCAAGAAAAGAATCTTCCTTTTTCTTAGGTGTAGCAACTAAATGTGTTGCTGAGGTGATCAAATCAGCACATATTTAATTTTATTTCACTATAATCCTGCCCGTGGTGTATTTGATAGGCGAAAAACAGTAACAATAATGGGTCTCATTCCTTTGACCCTGAAAGAGCTTCCAATACGGCATTGGGCTATGCTAGCACGTGACAGGAACGAATGAAGTCATTACTGGCGCCCACTCGAGCAAATCGATGATCAACGGGATGACAAGTGATGAGTGACAAGTGATAGTCCTGCCTTCAGGTACAGTCTGAGTCATCAGATCTGGGGGGCAGGCACAGCGGATGGCACTGAATGGTTATCTGGGAACAGACTCGCAAGAAAATCCTGTTCACCTTCTTTCTTTCCTCGCTCCAAACCACAAATTTGTTCACAAACCAGATTTTCTGTGAATCTGGTCCCGAAAATGGTTTTGCTGGAATTGCCTCATGGCTGAGAAATCTAAAGGCAGATGGATTTGGAATTTAATCCTCTGTGAGAAACAAAGGCAAATGAAAACAAAAAACCCGGTGATCAATTTCTTTGAGGTTTCCCATGGGTTTGGCTAGGGCATCCGATTTTCCTTAAATGCATGCAAACAATAACTCACGTCCTTCAACATTTTATTTTAAAAATGTATTTCCTCTGACTCTCAGACACAGCAGCCTATTTCTCTTTTTCCTTTTTCTTCCTTTTAGGCGACTCCTGGCTCTGGGCTTGAGGGCTGTTCCTGGTAGTGCTCAGGGGATCACGTGGTGCTCCAGAACAAAACCCAAAGGCTTTCTCTAAGCAAAAACATCCACTTGACCCACTGAGCTTTCTCTTGAGTGCCAAACATTTTAAATATCATACATTTTACAAATACATAAAAAGGATTGAACTTGCCTATTTATCATTCCACGTATCTACCCAAGCAAAGTTTATAGATTTCTATGATTTGAATTTTTTGTTCCACCCACCCAAGCCAGGATGAATTATTTTTCCATTGTGGTAAAAAAAATAAAGAATAACAAATAATGCAATGACTCATGCACAAATATATTTCTGAGGTCCTATTTTCGACACTGTTGGATATATATCCAGAAGTGGAGCTTCTAGATAAAAAAAATTCTTATTTTCTAGAGAATCCGCATTCTCTTTTCACTGATAGCTGCAGTTTTATGTTCCAGTAGAACACTGGAAAGGAGTCCATTCCTATCTCTCCAGCGCCTCACAAACCCTGATTCTTTTCTTTGTTTTTTTTTCATATTGTTTTGTTTTGTTATTTAAAATAGTAACCATCCTTTCCACAGCGGACACAGGAGCAAAGTACTCACATGAGTCCCCACATCCCCAGCAAGGATCCTACTCTTCTTTAAAAACTCGGCCACCATGCTGTTCATCAGCTTATCAAAGGCTTCCACTGAGGGGGCCACACCTTTGGAAGAAGAACATTTTGTTATTCTCTGGTAGTTTATTTTGTTTTACTTAGAAACAAATTTTTTTTAAAGAGGGGTACTGGAGGAACGTGGGCATTCTGTGCCAGGGATCCAACTTACAAGTCTCACACCTGCTAGGCACCTAAGCACCTAGCACCTAGCACCTAATGTGCTTTACCACTGAGCGAATGTCTTGTCCCCTCCTTAGTAGTCTAATGGAATGATGGTATTGCCATGCCGGAGGTAATGTGGAACAGTTGAGATCGTGATTGCTTAACTCATGGACTCATTCATTTACTCAGTCAATCTTGCTGAAGAATTTCCCAAAGGCTCAAGAATGATAGTACAGCGGGAAGGGCATCTGCCTTTCATGCGGCTGACCCGGGTTCAATCCCTGGCATTCCAGATGGTCCCTGGAGCAACGTCAGGAGTAATTCCCAAGTGCAGGGCCAGGAGTAGGTGTAGCCCAAAAAGCAGAGAGGGAGAGAGGGGGAGAGAGAGAGAAAGACAGAGAGAAAGACAGAGACAGAGAGCGACAGAGAAAGAGAGACAGAGAGAGACACACACAGAGAGAGACAGAGAAACACACAGACAGACACACATACAGAAAGAGTAGGTGTGGCCGAAAAAGCAGAGAGACAGAGACAGAGAGACAAAGAGAGACAGAGAGAGACAGAGAGAGACAGACAGAGAGAGAGAGAGAGAGAGAGAGAGAGAGAGAGAGAGAGAGAATTCTGGTATCCTATTTGTCCTCTTCCTAATTAAGAACTCCACCCTATGCAATGGCATTTAATTCTTCCCCACCCCAACGGGCCAAGGAGTTCCATGTGAGTTTTGCTGATGAGGAAGTAGAGATGCACAGAGAGCACATGCTTTGACCAAAGCTCTAAACCAAGTAAAAGACGGATCCAAACGCTGAGCCGTATCACCCCAAGCCAGCGCCCTCCTAGGCTGACCTGCTCCCGTGCCACCTCACAGTTACTAAGACGACCCAGACCAATTCAGCAGTAATAAATGAATGAACTCCGGGGGGCAAGTCGGGAAAGAAAGTCCTTTCACTTGTTTCGGTTCTTCCTGTCATCCCAGGGAGAGGGGAGGTGTCCAGATGGATGAAACTGGTTGCTGAGTGGATCTACCTTAAGGTTTTTGTTTGGGGGCCTCATTCAGTGGTGCGAAGGGCTTACCCCTGGCTCTGCACTCAGGGACAACTCCCGGTGGAGCTGGGAGTCCATATGGGGTAACGGGAATTGAACCCAGGTTGTGCATGAGAGGCAAGCACCTTACCCACCATCCTCTCTCTCCCCAGACATACCTTGGGTTTTGATCTTCCGAATGGCTGCAAAAGTTGAAGTGAGGATGACCCAGCTGGTGTGCTCTGTATTTCTTTCTCTGCTTTTTAGTTAGTAACAAAACTTTCACATCTCTGGCTTTGTTTCTTTTTTCTTTTTGTGTCACACCCAGCAATGCTCAGGGGTTACTCCTAGCTCTGCACTCAGGAATTAATCCTGACGGTGCTCAGGGGACCATACGGGATGCTGGGAATCGAACCTGAGTCGACCGTGTACAAGGCAAATGCCCTATCCTCTGTGCTATTGCTCCAGCACAGGCTTTGTATTTTTAATATGGAGACAGACACATACTACTGAGAAACTCAGTACTGCAGGTGATTCAAATCCAGACCCAAACCCAGCACTCTCTCCTTTGTCAGCCTGAACAGGAGTCTCCAGGCTCAGAAACCTGCCCAAGAAAGAGACACTTTCTCTTCCCAGGGACCGTTTCCACAGGCTGAAGGGTGATGGAAATCACTGCCCACAGCTCAGGGCCTTACATTCTGACTCAGCAGACCATTGTCCTGAGGCAAAAAAATACTGTATAAACCAACTTCTGGAACCCCAAAGGATCCACCTGGAAACACAGAAACCTCTTTGCTACTGGGGGAGAGACTGAGAGTCTCTAAGAGAGAATTTAAACTGGGAGAAAGTTTTTGCATGGCAATGAAGGATTCTGCATGGGAGAAGGTCTAATGATGAAAGGGACCATTTCCGGGGCCAGAGAGATGGTACAGCGGGAAGGGTGTTTGCTTTCCATGAGTTCTACCTGGGTTCAATCCCCGGCATCCCATATGGTCCCCTGAGCACCACCAGGAATAATTCCCAAGTGCAGAGCCAGGAGTAACCCCTGAGCATCGCTGGGTGTAACCCAAAAAGAAAAAAAAACAAACATATTATTTTATCTATTACTTCACAGTGAAGGGAAAATCAAAACATGCCAAAAAAAAACACAAGATCATACAGTATCCTGAGAAGGTAGTTCTCTGGGAAATATAAACATACGATTGATTTGTAACGGATTGGTTTCCTTTTGAAAGTCTCTTTCTCTTTCTCTCTCTCTCTCTCCCTCTCTCTCTGTGTGTCTCTGTGTCTCTCTGTCTATCTCTCCTCTCTGTCTCTTTCTCATTTTCATTTTGGCTTGGGGGGTCATACCCAGTTGTGCTATTACTGGAAAGAGGGATGGGTGTGACAGCTCAGAGCTCAGCGGCACCATCCCCGGTGGTGCTCAGGGACTGTGACCTCTGCATGAAAACTCATCCTCTAGTCCACTCAACTCTCTCTCTGGACACTAGCAGTTTCTTTTAAAATAAAGTTTATTCATCTATTTATTTTCATAAATTTAGGGCTGGAGCGATAGCACAGTGGTAGGGCATTTGCCTTGAACGTGGCCAACCTGAGTTCGATTACTCCACACCTCTCAGAGAGCCCAGCAAGCTACTGAGAGTATCTCGCCCTCATGGCAGAGCCTGGCAAGCTACCCGAGACGTATTCGATATGCCAAACACAGTAACAACAAGTCTCACAATGGAGACATTACTGGGCCTGCTCAAGCAAATCGATGAACAATGGGAGAACAGTGCTACAGTGCTACAGTTATAATATTATTGCAATGATGGTATTGGCTCCCCTGAAGAATTTGTTAAAATAGAATTTGAGAAATTACCACAGCTTACTAAGACACGAAGAGAATGAGGATTAATACCATGTTTTTGGATTAAAAACTAATTTAGGAAAATGCAGAGAGAGAGGAAGAGGGAGATAGAGAGGAGGAGGAAGGAGAGAGGGGGAAGGAAGAGGAAGGAGAGAGAGGGAGAGAGAGAAGAGGAGAGGAGGGGAGAGGAGGGGAGGGGAGGGGAGGGAAGGGAGGGGAGGGGCGGGGAAGGGAAGGGAAGGGAAGGGAAGGGAAGAGAAGAGAAGAGAAGAGAAGAGAAGAGAAGAGAAGAGAAGAGAAGAGAAGAGAAGAGAAGAGAGGGAGAGAAGGAGGAGGAGGAAGGAGAGAGAGGGAGAGAGGAGAGAGAAGAGGAGGGAGAGAGGGAGAGAGGGAGGGAGAGAGAGAAAGAGGGAAAGATGAAGAGAGAGAGGGAGAGGAGGAAGAAGAAAGGAAGAGAAAGGGAGAGAGAGAGGGAAAGGGGAGAGAGAGAAGGAGAGGAAAGGATAAGAGAGAGATAGGGTGAGGGAGAGAGAGAGAGGGAGAGAGAGAGAGAAGACCACAGGCTGTGACGCAGCCAGCAAAGAATGTGCCAGTACAAAGTTTCAAGGATGGGTGTCCCTCAGAAGCTTAAAAACTACCCCACGTCCTAATAACCTGACTCAGTGACAAGAAGGGCGATACCTTGCTGGCGAAGTTGTTTTTAAAGACTTTCCTCTGATAGCTGTTCTGGAATGATTTGTAATGAAAGAGGATTTGTTTAGCGGCCAGGGAGATTATAGAAGGGTCAGGGTGTGGAGTAGCACATGCCCAGCCAGGGTGTGAACCCGGCACCTTGTGGCCTCCCGAGAGTGACCAAGGGCAGCCCTGAAGGCCAGAAGTACCCCTGGGCCAGCTCACTCGGGGACCTCAGGGCTTGACCAGCACCAAAACCTGAGCTTAGCCCTGAACTGGCTCCCTGTTGGCTGTTGCTGGGAAGGGCTTCAGACAACCTGAGCACTTCCAGAGAGGACTCCTATCTCTTCAGAGAGAATATTTGTTTAAATACTTAATTTAATCACACACATTCCATTTTTATTGATCCTATGAATTCCCCTCCAATTTTTTCATAAACAGAGAAAATACGAAATGATGCCTTGCATGTCTTTGAATTAAGCAAGGTTCAAAATATTGTTTTCTTCTCTCTCTCTCTCTCTCTCTCTCTCTCTCTCTGCCATAGTCACCTGTGCTCAGGGCTTACCCCTAGATCTGTACTCAGGAATCACACATCACACCAGGGCTTAGGAGACCATCCACGGTGCCAGGGATGGAACTCGGGTTGGCTGCATCCAAGGCAAGCGCCCTGCCCGCTATACTATTTCACAGGCCCGAGATGTTCCTTTGTCACTTTACCAATGACATGACCCCATCCCCTGGCTGTTGGATCTGAAGTTGATTTTCCCTCCTTGGGAGCTTTCTGTTGGCATTTGGTGAGCTTATTGAGAAACGGTTTGATGGCAAGACGCCAAAAGCACGGGGAAGGAAGCAAGGCAGTGAGGAGCGGCTGAAAGTGCTTCCCCAGCTTCCCCAGCACTCAGCCACCAAGCAGACAGAGGACAGGACGAGGCATAACCTGGGATCACAGCTGTGTCTCATCTGATGCAGAAAAAGCTCACAGCCTCCCGGCCAGCCCTTCTTTAAACAATAGTCCATTTCGGCGCCTTCCAGGCATTTTCATTTTCATCAGGTTCCAGGGAAGAACAACCCAGCCTGGACATCGGTGCCCGCCCGGTCCTTGGGGTCCCAGGCTTGGAACACGAGGCACTGCCCCCACGATGCCTGACACTCTACAAGTGCCAACTAGGATTTTGCTGGGTGAAAGCTTTTTGGGGAGGCATATCCTCCCCCAGGCTTGTCTTAGCCCCCCTCCCCAAACCGATGGGATTCAAAAAATGGGTCAGATAGGAGGAAGCGCACAGGGGAAAAGACTCACAGAGGTGCCAGATAAAATAGGGATCCCCCCATGCCCCCAGTTAAACCTGAATTTCCAATAAACCATTAGTGCAACTATGGCCTATGTGTGTGCTGTGTAGGACTGGGAACACTCATAGAAAAAGCATAAAAATTTCTCCCTTGAAATTTCACAACTGACTCGTGTATTTTCATCTGCAATCTTAGACGAGAAGAAACTGGGAACATTATTGCCGGTGACTTAGCTTGCCATATATGGTATTGTTTTAAAGGAGATAGTTAACTGAGTTTTTGATCAGGTAATTTCTTTTAAACTTTTTTTTTTAAGAAGTAAGGCATAGTATATTATTTTAAAAGCCTATTTGGTTAGCAACAGGCAAGCTAAAACAATGTGATGTGATATTAGACTGAAGTCATATTTGGCTTCAGGTCCAACTAACTGCCTTGCAACCACAGCCCTTAAATTTAACGGCTTGTTTTCCTTAAACTTAAAATCTAAAGAAAGACACATGTTGGGGCTGGAGCGATAACACAGCGGGTAGGGCATTTGCCTTGCACGCAACCAACCTGGGTTCGATTCCCAGCATCCCATAGGGTCCCCTGAGCACCACCAGGAGTGATTCCTGAGTGCATGAGCCAGAAGTAACCCCTGAGCATCATCGGGTGTGACCCAAAAAGCAAAAAAAAAAAGAAAAGAAAGAAAGAAAAAGAAAGACACTTGTTTCCAATGTACTTTGTAATGCAGAAATATTCATATATATATAAATACCTATATGAACATTCATATATATTTCCTTAAGTAGTCTAGTTAATCATTGAGTGTGAAATGGCTATATAAACCAACATTAAATAAAGAATACTGACATCTGGCCCAAGGCTTACCCTCTTCACAGGTATAGTATTGGTGATTTTTGTGGACTGTGTTGAGATTCCCCCCACATCTCTTTCTCACTCCCCTTTCCCTCTCCTCCTTTCCTCCCCCTTCCCCCTCTTCCTCTCTCTCTCCTCTCCCTCCTCCTCTTTCCTCCCTCTCTTTCTCTCTCCTCCCTCTCCCTCTTCCTCTCTCCCCACCTCTTCCTTTCCTCCCTCTCACTCTCCTATCTCTCCCTCTCTCCCTCTTTCTCTCATTTTCCCTCCTTTACCTCCCCCTATCTCTTCCTCTTCCTCTCTCCCCCTCACTTCCTCTTCCTCTCGCCTTCTCTCTCTCTACCCCTTTCTCCCTCTTCTTCCCTCTCTCCCTCTTCCTTTCCCTCCCCCTTCCTCTCTTTCTCCCTCTCTCCCTCTTTCTCTCTCACCCCCTCTCTCCCTTTTCCCACCTCTCTCTCCCCTCTTTCTCTCCCTCTTCCCCAACCTTTTCTCTCTGTTTCTGGGCTCGGCACTCAGGGATCACTGCCGGTGGTGTTCCGGGGGTCCATATCTAGTGCTGGGGACTAAACCTAGATCATCCTCCTGCCAGCCTAGCACCTTAGCCTTACATGCTGTACTGTCACTCTGGCCCTCAGGGATTCTCTTGTGTCTAATTCTTGTCATGCTCACAGTGAAGAGTAGGGCTGTCGGAGGGGGAAGAGAGACATATTTCCTGATATACTAGAAAGTGGGGAAGGAACGAAGTGAACCAGGTAGAGTCAGGGAAGGCTGGAAAACACAGCCATTTGTCACCCTACCTGCGATGACACCATTCATCTCCCCAAAGTTCCCAGGCGGCTGGTGGGACTCGGGAGACAGCAGCTCCAGGCGACTGACGGCTCGCTCCAGCCTCTCGATCAATCCCTGCATGTCTGCCATCCTAGAAAGACACAAGTGGAAGCCTGTGAGCACCAGGGAAGATTTGCAAGAAGAAAACTAAAAATTACTCGGAACGACTCTGGTAACCTAGAGAATAGGTCTGCGTGTCTGGGAACTATGAGATGTTCAAATGAATGTAAAGGCAAATTATGTTGAGTTTGTTTTCTATTCAACTCATTGACTTTTATAAGTCCCATAGTTGATGCACGCATATTCACTCTCTTTACATCAGTAAGGGACTCCCTGATTCCTTTGTTCTAAGTAAGGCGCCATCTATTCTGAATCCTTACTTAAAAGTTTGTAACGCTACATCACTGTACAATGCACATTGCAAATACTTCTGCAAAAACAGTCGAGGCCGATTTGAACTATTTCCAGTAGCAAAATTCTGTGAAGGTCTAATTTAACAAACATCTGTTAAAGGATAATTCTCCTGGGGACACTAACCCCAGGGGCAATCCCAATTTCCTCAATTACCTTAAAGCAAATAGCCCAGAAGAGGAGGACTAGGAAATTTTATCTAATTATGCACCATTCAGCAGGCAGAGACTGCCTCTATCCAAAGGTCATTGTCCTGCATTTATTTTGAGTTTTAGTGTTTCTGTGACTGAATTCTTCTGTTTTATTTTTAAATTTGTATTTGTTATGAAGACCCTGTGATGTACAAAGTTATTCATAGTTGACTTTTAGGCAGACTAAGCTCCAGCACCAGTGACAAGGTCCCTCCACCACTGTCCCCAGGGTCCCTCCACACTTCCCCACCCCCAACCTGTCTCCTCAACTGGTACAGTTTGAAGTTTGGTGGTTGTGGTTTGGATCTCCTGCCTTCAGCATCATTGACTCTGTGTGTTGGATGCACCACTCTTGCTTTTGTTTAAAAATTTTATAAAGTAGTTCACAATATTTGACTACATTTAATATTCGAACACCAACCCCACCACCGTGACACCTTCCCATCACATTTCGGATACTTCCATCCTGAACCCCAATCCCTGCCCCCAAATAGAACTGAAATAATTTATTTTGTATTGTTTGTTATGAAAAACCACTGAGAATGCTACAAAAAAGTTTCCTTAGAGGAAAGAGTGTGAAGATTACTTATTTCACCAGGGGCCATTAAACCCTTCTATAAGCGATCACTAACATGTTGATAAAGGTTGAGCCTTGGGGCTGGAGCGAAGGCACTGTGGGTAGAGCATTTGCCTTGCACATGCCTGACCCAGGTTCAATTCCCAGCATCCCTTATGGTCCCGCAAGCACCGCCAGGAGTAATTCCTGAGTGCATGAAACAGGAGTAACCCCTGTATATTGCTGGGTGTGACACCAAAAAAAAAAGGAAAGAAAAAAAAGAAAGGTTGAGCGTGTGTGTGTGTGTGTGTGTGTGTGTGTGTGTGTGTGTGTGTGTGTATGATGTGAGACAGGGATGTACCATTCTTGTACATCACCAATGGACCTAAGCCCTTGACCCCTTGTTGCTAAATCCTTTTAAATTGAAGATCGTTTGAATAGTGGTGATTTTAGTTCAGAATATTAAAAGTGGTGATGTCTCTTTTCTGTTGGTTATTCTGAGACAAAGTTTAGTTTTCAGGGAACTGATTTTTAGACATGGGAATTTTCAGTTGCCTAGTAGTCCTGGCTGGGATAAATTGGGTTTGTGTCTGCGCTGTGAAAGAAATTAGGGCTACTATAAAAAGACACTCTATTGAATGGGGGAGAATCAGAATCAGGCACACCATGTATCTGATCAAGGTACATAAAATGCAACAGCAAAAACCAAACAGCCCCATCAAAAGAGTGGGAAGGGCTAGAGAATTAATACAGCAGATAAGGCACTTGGGGGACCTGGGGTTCATCACTGGTTCCCCAAATGGTCCCCTAAGCCCTGCCAGAAGTGATCCCTGAGCACAGAGCCAGGAATAAGCCCTGAGCACCACTAGGTGTAGTCCACCCCACCCCCCAAAAAATGGTGAGTGGGAAGAACGCTGAATACTTCCTCAAAGAAGAAAAACAGAATGCCAAAAGGCATATGAAAAGGTGTTCCTCACTTATTTTCAGGGAAATGCAAATCAAAACAACCAGATATGGCCTCACACTAGGGAGAATGGTCTATATCAAACAGAAACAACCAGTGATGGCAGGATGTGGTGAGAAAGGAATCCTCATTCACGGCTGGTGGGACTGTTATCTGCCTCAGCCTATACAGAGACTTCTCAAAATACTAAAAATAGAATTCCCATCTGATCCAGCAGTTCTACTCTCTGGCATCTGTTTCCAGAACACACACACACACACACACACACACACTAACCCGAAAATATCCATGTACATCCACGTACATCTATGTTCATTTTAGCACTATTTACACTACCCTCGATGAAGAAAAAACCCAAATATCTAATAACAGATGAGTGGGAGACTTAAATAGTGTATATATATATATATATATATATATATATATATATATATAGAGAGAGAGAGAGAGAGAGAGAGAGAGAATGAGATCTTTCCAAGCTCTCTGAATAGATGAAATCTTGCCTTTTGCTACAGCTTAGATGGGATTGGAGAGGTAGCACAATAAGAGGGAGAAGGACGAGTGCTGGATAGTCTCACTTATGTGTGGTATATAAAGAAACTGTAGCACTGTAGCACTATCTTCCCATTGTTCATCGATTTGCTCGAGCGGGCACCAGTAACATCTCCATTGTGAGACTTGTTGTTATTGTTTTTGGCATATCAAATACTCCATGGGGAGCTTGCCAGGCTCTGCCGTGCGGGTGGGATACTCTCGGTAGCTTGCTGAGCTCTCTGAGAGGGATGGAGGAATCAAACCCAGGTTGACCTCGTGCAAGCAAACACCCTACCCACTGTGCTATCACGCCAGCCCCAGATATAAAGAAACAAAGCAAAGATATAGACACTGTCCATTGAAAACAAGTGCTTGGATTCTGGAAACAAAACTGAGGTTATACAGTGGGAGGTGGGGCAAGATAATCTAGGCCTGACCCAAGCACAGTTCAACATTTTGGTGGCGGCGGATGTGAAGTAACTTCATACCCCAAACACATACACATGAACGCGATTGCATTCATGTTACCTTAATAATTAAAAGAAAATTGTCTTCATTGAGTGTGAAGCCACTAAGGCATTGAGAATAAAGCGGGGGGCTGTGTCATATTTGGAATATGACCAAATATTTGGAGGAGGTTCCTTCCAAATATTTCCAAACAGTCTCTTAACCTACCCACTGCGTGAGCGGAGAGTAAGTGCCTTACATGATTGACAGTGGACGTGACGCTGACCATGCTAAAAGAATGTCCATGAGATACCATGACCCTGGCGACACGAGCCCATGACTGCTTTTGGCAAGGCCGGCCCAGTGTCCGAGAGATGACAACAGCCCTTATTTCAGCCATGCCTGCACTTCTTCTCACTCCCGAGAACTTTCCAAGCCTCACTCGGAGCCAAAGACGGTTGGCACGCTCCTGCCTCAGAGGCAATCCTGCCCGGAGCGTGGGTTCGTTTTATTGCTCAAAGATGTGTAAATATTTTATATTTCTGCTGCTGAGAACCAAGGAGCACGTTTCTTTTTTATGTTCCGTGAGTCTTGAGCTTAAACACACCAGTGCTATGCCACCGCCATTTTCAAGAGAAAGGTCAGACTTAACCAAAGCATGTGGAGGGCGTTGTCATTCTGGGTCCAGCTGTCAAAGGGTCATAGGTCAAGGCGGGGGAGGGCAGTTCAGGGTTTAATTGGGGATGTTGTCTCTCCACTCGTTACCAGGAGCACACTTTCAAAATATGGGGCAGTGCTCACTGCACAACCGAAATCAGCAGCTTATCCCAAGGGGAGTCAAAATTAGAAGTTTCTCATCTATTCTTTGCCTCCTCACGTCAGAGCTTTTTGCCTCCATCGCAATTGGGAAAAAAAAAAGGAGGGAGAGAGAGAGCGCGCAAAAAAGAAATGTAACTGACTCCTTTATGTAATCTTGCAGGGGAAGTAGGTATCCTGTAGGTGGGTGAAGGCCATTTGAGAAATGATAAAAAGCCCCTCCGATTTTTTTTTAATAGTTGCCCATCTGTTCACAGTTATCTATGTTCTCTGTTATTCAACCTGCCAAATGTTACCACCACAGCCCTAGTCTCCAGGACACAAAAATATGAGTGAGCTCCCTCTCCCCAAATAGAAAAGCCGCCAGCACTTCGACCAGCTCTCAAAAAAAACGGTTTCAGGGAAGCCTGCAACATTTCACACGGGGGCCTGCTGTCGCTGCCCGGGGTGTAATCAGCCTCCCTGACGAGGCCCACACTCACTATCTCCCAGGTCTCCTTCTGTTGAGAGACAACAGAAGTTGGCCTGCCAACTGCCGGGTGGCACAGACTGGCGTGAAATGCAGCCCAAGAGAGAATCCGACGTTGCTCCATGTAAAACCACCAGCAACCCCAATCTTGTCACAGTCTCTTCAGAGGCCCAAAGAGAGCTCATGGCAGGGACCTGGAGTAATGCCTCGGGGCTGAAAGTTTTAGGACAGTTTCTAGGAGAAATGGAAGAACAAATAAAAGAGTACTCCAAGAAATCAAAACACACATTATCCGTGAACTGATGGAACGTCCACATCACCCTGCCTGCCATCCTGCTTCTGGAAATTTATCTGAAGAGCACAAAATCATTGATTCAAAGAGATGTATGCATACCCACATTCATCCAGCACTGTTGAGGGGCTGAGGCAATAGCACAGCGGGTGGGGCGTTTGCCTTGCATGTGGCCAACCCGGGTTTGATTCCTAGCATCCCATATGGGTTCCCCAAGCACCGCCATGGGTAATTCCTGACTGTAGAGCCAGGAATAACCCCTGTGCATTGCCAGGTGTGACCCAAAAAGAAAAAAAATCATCCAGCACTGCTGACAGTAATTTAAGATCTAGGGACAACTCGGGCACCCAATAAAAGATCAAGAAATTGTGGTCTAGCCACACAATGGAATACTATTCAGCTGTCAGAAAG